CTATCCTAAATAGTCGGGGTTGGCAACCCCGACTATTTAGGAGGGTGTTAAACCCTAATTAAATGGTGATTAGCAGGTTAATCACTATCCTAAATAGTCGGGGTTGCCAACCCCGACTATTTAGGATAGTGATTAGCCTGCTAATCACAAAACCGGGTCGATTTTGATAAATAAAAAAAAACAGTCGGTTTTGAAAAAAAAAAAAAATTCAGTCGGTTTTGAAAAATTGTTCTATCTAATAATATGGGGGAGAAATAGGGGAGAAAAGCGTTTTACTAGAGTCAGAGGGCGGAGTGTGAATGTCCCGATTATTTCGGCGTTATTATGTAAGAAAATGAATAAATAAATATTATTCAGGTAAGGAGTTGAAGTGGAAGGACGCCACGCCGTCGTCGGTGAGAGAAATTGGTACATGGGTCATAATTGATGTGACAACGGATCTGACCATAATACGAAGGCTAAACTTTTGGATGATTATCAGACAACCCCTTTAACTTTTAAAATATTATAAAATCCATCTTTAAGTTTACAGTTATCAGAAAAATCCCTTTTAGCTTTAAGATTTTATAGGATATTTAGCCCGATGCAATCTGCTCTTCTATGCTTATATGAGGATCCAAGAATAACTGTTTATAATACAGTAAATACTACACCGAATTACTGTAGCATAAATAGTAAATCGGATTTGGCCTCATCGCTCGAAAACACTGTTCACAATCTGGTCATTAGCGCTCGAAGGCACTGTTTATGGCACAGTATTTATTGTAGCATAAACAGTAAATATGATTTGAGCCTCTATACTTGAAGCTACTATTTATTCTATAGTAATTTACTGTATTATAAACAGTAAAACAAATTAAATGCATTACAACATGGATTCTCCTTCAAGTATAGAGGAGTAGATATAATTTTTAAATCAAATGTATTAAAACTTAGATCCTTCTTTGAGTATATAGGAGTATATATAATTTTTAATTTTAAGGGTATAATAATTAAATCAAATGTAATAAAACTTAGAGCAATGCAAGTTCAGAATGCGGTGCTTACAAAAATAAGAGGCCGTGATTTTGCACGGGGTGCACACTAGTCTATACTTACTTATAGGAGGATTCAAAAAATCACCATTTATGCTACAATAAATACTACAGTAAATACGACAGTAAATACTGCTGCGTAAACAATAAATCGACCCCCCAGCCGCAACAGTAAAATATTCTATCATGAACTATAAGTAAAACCCGTACCAACTACACTAACTACTGTACCATGAACAGTAACTACCCCTAGCCGCAACAGCAAATTAATGTACTATGAATAGCGACTCAAACCTAACACTATATTTTTTAAAGCTACCGTCACTTATCCGCTTCCAGATCTCTGTCTTCATCTGCTAAGCGCAGTAAATCCTCTTCATCTAGCTCAGTCTCTCTTCCTCTCGCTCACCAGCCAGACCACATGTTAGCCTCAGTACTCTCTAACTGTGGAGCATTAGATCCAATCCCTTTTGATGGGATATGCACACTCAGAGAGCTAGAGGCAGAGAGGGCCGAATCTAATGCCTGAACTGCTGCCTAACTCAAATCTAGATTGTTCTTATATCTATCTAGGATTTTGCCTCCCCCATCTCGGAGGAGGTGCTTGATTCTTCATGGATATAATCTTGTGTAAATCTTTTATCTGCAGCCATATATATATATTAAATGATAGGGCTTTTAGCCCTATTTTCCTTTTTTAAAAAAAGGTACTGTTTATACTACAGTGTTTTCACTATATCATAAACAATTAATTAAATCAAATGTATTAAAACTTAGATCTTCCTCTAAGTATAAAGAAGTGGATACGATTTCTAAATCAAATGTATTAAAACCTGGATCCTCTTTTAAGTATAGAGGAGTAGATATGATTTCTAATTTTAAGTATACAATAATTAAATTAAATGTATGAAAACTTAGAGGGAGTTAAGTTTAAATGCAATACTTAAAAAAATAGGGGGTCGTGCTTGGCACGGGGTGTTTTCGCCAAAAGTCGAATTTGTTGTCGAATTCATTATATCTTCGGTCGATTACAATAAATTCAAAGAAAACAGCCTTTTTATAAGACTCTTTTACACAACAAAAAGAAAATTACAACTCTTGAGAAAATAAACGCAGGATCGTTGTTTGGATCACTGCTTTCGTGGGATCTTTGCCTGTGCCGGGAGCGCTTTGACTCGTGGACCACCAAGTCACAGATTCTGATTGAACCGTGAGGGGTTTATGATTCTGACTTCGTTTATCGAAGTGAGAAATTGAAACGATATATTATCGATGTAAGATAGTCGTTCTTCTTGAAATCAAGTCAAAGCTCAATTTCAAGGATTGGCCGTAAGATCAGCACCTCTGCTCTCTCTCTGCTCTGGATTGCTCTGGATTGCTCTGAAGTGCTCACAATGATCAGCCCCTGGAAAAATGGCCTTAGGAGGGTATTTATAACCTCCAAGAACAGTTGGTAGAAAACAGGTTCGCGAGACAGTGTTTGCTGTCTCGCTGGGCGAGACAGTGTTTGCTGTCTCGACCCGCGA